GAAGCAGTATAGCCATGCTAAAGCCATTCTGTACCTGGGCTAATTATAAGAAGAGTTCCTGGTCTTCAGCTGAAAAGGCTTTCTTTCCCTCCATTTTTTCTTTCCCTTTCTTTCCTCCCTCAGATGTTGTTAATCTCTGTGGGCAAATTTATTGGAGCATGATATGAGATGTTAACAGCGCCTGTTGCAGATAAAATGGTAGAATTAATTAGAGCTTCTTTATTTTAGGAGATAATCTAGTTTTGAAAAAAGATTTGTGTATTGGGGATAATAGGGAAAAAAATTAATACTTCTTGTCATCTGGAGACAATTTTAACCTGAATCATCAATATTTAGGGTCCAACTGCCTCAAATCGTTTACAAGTGCACAGCATACAGGAGAACACCATTAGCATTTCCTTTATTTTCCTTGCAAAAGCCACAGAGTATCACAGTGTCCAAAGGTGCTTGTACAGCCACCAGGTACAAGGCAGGCCATGCAGTGGGAATATGCCCAAAAAGCCTTGTTCCTGGATTCTGCAGCTTGCATGTGCAGTTGACACCAAAAAAAGATCACATTCTAATTTGATCTGACATAAATTCTCTCGGTATGGTTGGGCTGGAAATTTTACCTGTCTTGTGGCAATGTAAGCAGTGCCATCCCACAGGGCTCTTCTCAGCACAGGCTAGACCAAATCTTTGTATCACTGTGATGAACACTAAAAAGCACAAACTGGTATAAGGCATTTGGACTTTTTCTGATAACAGCAGCTGAGGAAAAAAATGTACTGAATGCTAAAATACAATAACATCTGCTTTACGGGCCTACGATAAAATGCTAAGTACAGTAGTCCTGTGTTCAGGGATTGCTTGTAACATACATCATCCATTTGAAGTTGAGAAATTGGCCTTGTCTTCTGCTGTCAGGCAAAGATAGAATAATTCCTGGAAGTTCGGTGTTTCCTGTCATGACAGTTTGCTGGAAGCTCTTTACTGGGCAGAGACTTTACCAGCCTGAACTTTAGGACACTCTACAAAGTATTTTGTGTCTAAACCCCCCTGGAGAAAAGAGAAAAATTGATTTTGGCTCACCTTGAGATCAAGTGTCTGACAACTGAGGAAAGTGGTGGACACAGGTTCTTAAGATTTGGGTGATGCAATCCCTAATGTTTTCCCCAGGGAAAATTATCTATTAGACCTCCCATTGGGATGGCCATCATGAAAATCTCTGCAATTCAATGTTTGATGAGGGGGAGAAAGGCAGAAGAGTTGGTTGGATTTAGCCACAAGGAAACTGAGTGGTTTAAGAAATAAATAAAAAAAATTGCAGTTTGGCAACTACAAGGCTGCTGCTAGATGAACTTAATTTCACAAGTAATATGTGAAAGAAATGAAGGTGATGGCAGCAATCAGCAAAAAGTCAGCATAGAATCCAGAAGAGAAAATAGGATAGAAACCAATTAGTTGGCTGAAAAATCAGGAGATTAATCTGAGTAAATAGTCAGGCAGTTCCCCTGGGTCATTATAACATTTAACAATAGCACCAGGACATCACTGATGATGAAGAGCAAAGAGTTACTCAGTGGCCTAGTCCTGAACAACAGGCTACCAATGATGATAAAATCTGGAATTTTGTCCATCATAGAGAATAGAACAGTATGGAATAGCCTAATGAAACGAGGAATGGACTAAGGATCAGAGCTTTTATTTCTGTCAAAGGCCTTCTCTGTTGATGGTGACAACAGAGAAGTCTCGTGCTCTGCCTCAGTTTCCCCACAAACAAAGGATGCAGGAGCCTCGCACTTGGAGTCACAAGAATAGCCCCCACCAACATAATTCAAAATTTGAAAAACTCTCTAAACAAAAATACCAAAAATTTTAATAAACTTCTTGCAAACAAGAATGAGTTCACAAACTCTTATTTCTAGAACATATTCTATTATGGGAGAAAAAAAATTGAAAAAGCACAAACATATGTGAATTAGGTCCTTTGGGGGCAGGTGCAGACAATTTACAATGACTTGGGCCTTTCACTTGCTGTTTAATCTCCAGTTAAGGGGTGTTCTGTAGAGGAGGCCCGGTGCAGACAAATAGCCAAATTCCAGGAACAGGTTTTAAGGCTGTCTTGAACATGCAGCTGACTACTCACACTGCTTCCCAATATATGTAGTATGGAGGTGTGCAAGAAGACATCTTAAAGCAGGTGGAGGTTTTTTTAGAGAGTACTTCCCTCTGGCAATTGCTGACAGAGGAACAGCCTGTGACTCTGTTGCCAGGTGGAGGAAATGATAGCAACCCCTGTGGCTATTAATTGCTGCCATTAACAACATGGGCGATAGGTGGAAAGATAATAGAAAGGCAATGCCATCTCTCTGCCCTGCCTCCAACTGCTTAGCCTGAAAACCCAGCCTGATGTTTATATAGTGTTCTCAACCTGTAATCTGCTAAATCCTGCGATTAAATAATTTTGCTCAAGGTTATAACTGGTTTTAAGTTGCACAGTTTAACAGCAAGCATTAGAATTGACAAATGCCATTCCCTATTGAGTAAGCAACTGAACTTAAGCCTGGGGGCTGAGAGCTGGAAGAGCAGCCAACAGCTGTGAAGGGAAGTAACTCCAAAAAAAGGAGAGTATTTTATTGGCATCTGGGGAAGAAGGGGAGAAAAGGGAAAGAGGGCAGTGTAGAGCCTAAACTTTTTTTTTTTTTTTACATGGGCTGTTCTGTCATGTTTGGTGTGTGGGCACATCCTCCTAGAGAAATAGCCTCCAGCATGGAGTACAAGTCCTGCATCCCAGGTGGAAAAAAAAAAGGAGAATTCTGTGCTATGTCTTGTGAACTGCATAGTGGTTCCTGAGAGCAGAGAGGCAGGAGAGAATGCTGTGGAAATGTTTCCCCTGTGGTAGAAGATGGCAATAATGTTCAGCACCATGTCTGGTTTTGCTATGAGCTGAAATGGCACCAGCTATGAAAAGCATCTATGAGCTTGGATCAAAGGAAGGCAGGTTTGAAGAACTGATCCCTTGGGTTCTGGAGGACACAGACCTCAAAAGACTGATGCATGCAGGCATAAACTACCTGTAGACCTAGTCTTCACTGAGGACTGTGAAATATGACTATTTATACATTACTACCTTAATGTGATAATGTGTTTACCTGTGCAGCTGGCTTTTCTCTTTCCCTCTTTAATGAAGAATTGTTACCCTTGGAAATGGGGAAAATTAGCTCATGAGGTACCTGAAATTTTTTCCCAGATTTCAGGCTTGAAGATGATGGCTTATTAGCGGCCCTTGATAAATTTTAGCTGGTCTCTGTGATTCTCAAACAAGTGCTGACACAAGTTAGACTAAGAATAATTTAATGCAAGGTTAGACCAGATGATCTCTAGAGATATTTTCCAATCTAGACTTTTTTATGATGGTATAAATGGATGATTACTTTTTAATAGCTGCTTGACTTAGAGGCAGATCTATGTGAATAACTGATCTTTTGGCTAACTGGATGAACAGAAGGTCGAGAAGGGAGACACAGTGTTGGGAAACAAAATTTTCCAACTCTCAGCAAGCTTTCCTCTCCCATTACAGAAACACTTAGCATTGTCTCAAGGCATTGCATTCCAGGCAAAATGGAACAATTTCTACTCCTTTCACAAAGACTATATTCAGCTAGGGTTTTTTTGAACAAAATGCTACTTAGGATGAAAAATCAAAATGTTTAAAAACGCATTTCAAGCTTTTAAAAAAATGTGTTGTTTTCTTGAGGGAACTATTCATGAATTTCTGAAGAGGCGACTGAAAGCATGGATAGTCTCCAGTGAGCCCGACTTCATTTTTTGCCAGATAGACTATTTCATTAAAAAACAATCAATCCCTTTGTCTGCTTAATCACTGTTCTGACAGTCTGCAAAGGAAAGACGAAGAATTCCTGCTCCATGTGGCACTGCACAGAGTCACATGAAGGCTAAATGGAAAGCCAAAACTAATTTTGCAAGAAGCCATTAGGAGCCGTGGGCTCTCCAGTCCCGCAAGGATAAAATCTTAACACAACAAGGTCCAATGTTTAAAAAACAACTGCCTGAAGGTCTGCTCATCAGCCTGCACTTACCCATTTAAATACCTGGGTTCATGGCGTGCAAGGGTACTTAGCAAGCAGCAGCTCCATTGTGAGTTTGATGGGAGATGCTGGCTGATCAGGACTGTTCAAAGCCACACCAGTTAATTTGGTACCTTCTTCCTCACTGCATTACTAAGATAACCACTTCCCTTAACATCCAGGATTAATAATAATTCAAAATGGAGTAATGAAATAATAGATTAAAAGAGATCGAACCTCTGCAAAAGGATAACTGACATCAAGTGACACTTCTTATAGTTCAGATAAACCAAAATAATAAACAGAAATTGCTTCCCAAAGCAGCAATTATTTTAGGTGATGCATCAAAACTGAGCTGAAAAGCCAAGTTCTCTCCCCTGGACAAGATGAGCAAACAGGACTCAGCTCCAAACATCTGAGCAACACTGGCTGAAAAAAAATAATGAAAGATGAGACACAGGCAAGATGTCAATTGACTGAGGGCATATGGGAGACCTAAGGACAACAATCAATCATGGATCTGTAAGCTGTTTCAAACTATTCAGTGCAAAGGAGCCAGTGAGGGAGCAGCATCTGTGTGCTCAGACTGGCTGCAGCACCTCCGAAACCCAGCTCAATCCAAATTAGGGGGATGCACTGCCATGAACACTGACTCCCCGCACTCCCTCCCACTGACAGACAGCCCACAAAACCTGCACCCTGTCACAGGGAGTCACTTGAGCATGGAGACAAAGCCCAGGTCTCTAAATATTTAGACAGCCCATGTGTTTTTGGCAGCATGTTGAGTTTCCTACCCAGGGTTTGCAGGGCGCCTGCTTGGACATGCCGGGATGGCAACGCCCAGCAGAGGCCGCGGAGCGTGCAGGTTGGATGGGGAACAACCACAACCACTGCTGCTGCGTTTGAGGCTAATCAGGTTTGATGTCTCACCTCTTGGTTCAGCATGGGCTTGCAGCCCGAGTTTTTGTTGGTGAGCTGCAAGGGTGCTATCTGGCTTGTCATGTCTAATAACTTTCTCTTCTGAAGGCTGATAGGCTGAAAGATCTGTGCTGCTGATGTTAAAAGCTGGATTTTCAATGCCTTCTGTTGCTGCTCTCTCTTCTTTTACTATAGAAAACAAGGAGGTCAGAAGAGCACGTTATAGCAAAGTGTATTTCAATGACAAGCAGAAAATTCCTTCTAGTAATTCCTTTGCTGAAAGACTCAAGTGTATCGTCCTCAAATGTCGCCAAAACAGAATTAGGTTAAAATTAACTCTAAAAAAAAAAAAAAAAAAAAAAAGAATAAATGATTAAAATAATTACAAATTGCACCCTGACAAGCAAGAGCAAAATTTCGCCCACAGCCATTTGTCTGTAATTAGTTAATTAATCCTTACACAAATTATGAGCAATAACTCATCAAGCAAGGCTCACCCATCAGAAATTCAGCCGACTTGGATTTCTTCTGCTTAGTTTGCTTCAGAGCCTTCTGCTGGAACTTCTGGAGGGAAATTGTTAAATGAATAAATTAGCTAAAGAACGAAGATCATCCTTTATGATCCACAACTAACACAGTATTTTAAATATGGGATGGCATTGAAATGTCATTTAATTTAAATCTCTGCTAAAGGGGTCAAACACTAATTGAACAACAGAAGTGGAAGAATTAAATAAAATAGAAGAAAAGTTGAAACAAATGCCAAATGAAGGTCACATTAAAATACTTTGTTTTTTCCCCAGTTTTAATTAATGCAAAGAAACCTCAACAAATGAAGAACATTATAAGACTTGTCTCTCAGTATGCATTCAACAGCAACTGCTTTATTTCACTTGCAGAACGGCAGTGCTTCATTTAGAAAAGTTTGGTTATGTAGCATATTTACAGACAGACTTCCCTGATGTCCCCCATCATCCTATTTTCCAAGTCCACTTACATAACCAGTGTATCTGTTCATCACAGAGGAGCTAAAAATGAATGAGCGCTACCCTTTCATACAATGCAATAGAATGACAAGAGAACTAAAACAATTTTAAATGAAGTGTCACAAGAGAGAGATCACAGTCCAGGGGAGAGAGGAAGCAGGACTCATTACAACAACGAAAAGTTCATTTAATATTAGAGAGATGCCAACAAGGGTTACGGTGAAACCAAACAGCAGGAGATCTTGTGGAACCTTAACTCTGACATGTTCCACTGTAATTTCCATGGGCAAGCAAGGCTCAAAAATTATATGGTCACATTGAGCTAAGGAAGGCCCAAGTGCTGAACACCATCCCTGTGTAAAACCCAGAGCCACATTGGGCAAGAGTCACACGTGGTCTGGTCTGCGGCTACAGACCCTATTTCAGATGTTGACAGTCAAAACAGGCAAAGATTACCTAAAATAAAGCACATCTGGGAATATTAATCAAAGCCAAAACCTAAGTAAGAACACAGTTCAGACCCATTTATTTTTAGAACATCACATGGCAGCTTCCAAAATCAGCATTATTTTTTCAAGCCGGTTGCTTAATTGTCCAGTGATAAAGACCACTCCTGGCAACACAGCTCCTGGAAACTGTCAATACAAAAGGATTAATTACAAGAATCATTGAAAAATTGCAGTTTTTACAGCATCCATCTTTCCCATTTGATTGTGGGTGTCAATTTCCAGTAAAAAACCAGCACTTGCAGCAGACACAATCAATAAACCTGTCAAAAATAACTGAACCATACCACTGACAGGTTACTATAGATATTAATATCTTCATATTTATACATGTATATATGCACAGGCATATATGGTTTTCTAGAAACAGTGAACATCCTGTAAATTAAGACCAATACCCTACTAAAACACAAATATGTAAAAATGACCAGACACATTCTGAAATCTACAATAAACAAATACAATAAGGGAAAAAATACCTGCGAGCCACATGCAGCACAACTGAAGTTAATGATAATTTTGGTAGGAGTCCAATAGGTTCAGAAATTCAACCATGCTGCTTCTGATTTTTCAAAAATGCATATTCATTCCACTAGTATCTTCAGAATTATGTCTGCTTTGCAATATTAAAGAATTGCTGCATTCCTGCATGCCATAAAATTTTAATTGAGCCGCTTTTAAAGATTCCAGAGTATTTGTAACACTGCTGTGTGATAATTATTCTTACTATGCTGTGTGTAATCACCACACAAAACCTTCAAATTCATGTTAGCAGCTAAAGAAAACAATATCAAGCCAAAAATTCTGGGGCAAATTTTCAAGTGGTATAAATCACTATACATCTGCAACTCTGATGGAATTAAGATGATCTGCATTAGATTCTGTGTATTCCTTCTGCATGTCAGATTTGCCTAGCAAAACTAAGTGCTCACTATATTGGCCATAGTCAACTTTCGACTGTTATAGTCTGGAAAATGCACAAGCTTCTTTCACAGCACAAAGTAGAAAAAAAGATATTCTTCCTTCCTTATACATTATAAAGATGTGTACTGCAATGGGTTCTGGAGTGGATTTCTGCATGTGTGTGTTTTGGGGTTTTTATTGTTTGGAATTTTGGAGAGCTTTTTGTCTTGTTTCAGGGAAGGTGTTAAAGTGTTGGATCTTTGAGGGGTTCTAGTTGGTTTTTTTATGATTCAATACAGTTAACACCAAATTTTGTACTTTTCAGTGACAAAAACGACTAAATTATTTGGTATTTCAGTCAAATAGTCACAACTAGAATTTTCAGGCAATTGATGGAATAGGCTTGTGATCCCAATGCACTGCAAAGAGATGATGCCCTTGTCCCTTAATGCAATCAGGTTTTGAAAATATGTTCTTCATATTTTTTAGAATGGAAGCAATGCTTGATTTCCAGCAGCTGAGTTGAATTCTTCCAGTGTTACTTCTCAACATAGCTGAATAACAGTGTTTCAGTGGTGGCCTTTGTGTAATCAACACATGTTCTTGTCACTTCGTGCTTGAGAGGAAATTAGAAGACATTTTCCTTTCATACCTATTTCCAGCCAATTTCCTCATCCTTCTCTCTTTTACACATGAGCAATTTTAAGTTGTGTAAATAACACTATTTCCCCTGCTTTTTATTTTAGGTTTCCTTTCCCAACCCCCCTACCCTTATAATACTTTGCCTTCTCATCAGAGAATAGGCAGGAAATTATCCAGTTGCATTTTACATTCATTTTATCATTAGTCACTACTACTTAATGTATGTATTTATGCAAATTTATGTCTAAAGCAAATGTTCTTTAATCAGTTTGCACATACCTGAAAAACTTAGGTTTTCAATAGCAAATTAAATAAATGCTCTCAGTGACCATTTGGATTGTTTGCAGGCAAAGTCCAGTTCTGTGAGCATACCGAGACAATGCACATAAACACACATCCTTACAGAAAGCCTCCCCTCTGGTTACAGAACATTATACCAAAATAAACATTAAAAAGCATTAAAAAAAAAAGTTGCACAACTTGAAGCCAGAGCCTCAAGTGATACAAAGGCCGTGCTGGTTTACATCAGCTGTAACAGGGCTACAACTTGCATCCACAAACCAAATGCATCAGATCTCTCCATCCACAACCAGCACACAGAAAGGGGATGTCCCTTGCATGCAAAGTCGAGTTTAAAGGGTGATCTTGCTGTTGGTAGCAATTTATCCTACCTCAAATCTCCACGACTGTTGCTGAAAAACAGGTCCTGCCTTTTAATTTTTTTTAATGTCTTTTTACCTGAGTGTGCTGCACTACAGCAAAGACAAGGGGAGTTAGAAATGTTTGAGCACAGTGCAGACTAATCACCATGTCACTCAAAAGGGGACCTAAACCTTTAAAATCTTTTTTGCACGCCATCATCATTAAAACGCACCGCCTGCTTGCTGATACTGACGGAAACAAAGGGAAACTAGGAGCACCAGAACCTGCAGCACTCGCATCTCTGGGAGAGCAGCGAGCACCACAACAGCAGCAGCAGCAATGGCAAGGGAAAAAACCCTCATTTATAACCAGTGACAACTAAAACCTATGAAGTTTTTAAAAGAATGTGATTGTTGTCAAAAGGAATTGGGTACAACAATGCTGCGTTCAGCTCTGGTTCCACTCAAAGCCGTGGCTGAGGGGCTCTGGGAAAGCTGCTGGAAGGCTGGTGGGCACAGACCAGCAAGAAAGTGAATTTTGCATACTGTACGGATCATCGCTCAGTTCAGGGCAGTCATATTGAATCTGTGATCAACCAATTGTGCTTCATGAAACCGTCAGCCCTCATTTATGTCTAGCTGTTTTCTTCTGTCCTGCTGTAAACAAGCTCTGCTCTGAGCTGTCTCCCTACCCTTATCTGCTTACGAAGATCACACAGACAGACCTCATCAGCAGCCTTAGAGTTAAAGTTAAAGTTACTGCTTCCAGACAGCAGTCCCCATGCAAGCTGGAAGTCAAAAAGAAGAGCAACTTTGGAATGACAGAGTTTTAGTTCCTTTTAGGAAATGCATACCTTAGATTCATACACATACTGGCATGTTATGTCTCTTTCATGAAATTAAATTAGGTGTTCCTAATATGAACAACTGTTTCTAACATCAGCAAACTAGCTCAGCAGATTCATCCATGGTTTTGTTTGTGGGTTGGTTGTCTTGTTGTTGGTTGTTGGGGTTTTTTTTGTTTTTTCCTTTGGGGCCTTGTTTGAATACAGCCAAAAGAGAAGTAGCTGGAAATATTGTCAATCTGGTAGGGCTCCAAGAACATAATAAGGCCTGAAATGCTCCAAGGAGTGTAACAATGGTAAACAGGAACAGGTATGTTGGCTTCTGTTCTCATTCACTTCAGTGAGAGCATTAGCCTTTCAACGGAAAGCAGAGCACAGTTTTCAAACAATGATCCTCTTGCATAAAAAGGGATAGAGCTTCACTAAGCACTCATTCCTCTGTGAACACACTCATACACACACAAATGCATTACTTGGTATTTACAGCATTTAATTCTTGCAACCAGCTGCTAAGTCCCTGTTAAGGCTTTCCGTTATGCAGCTGGAGCTGGAACCTTTTCCTTTTCCCAGCCTATTACTTTGTCTATTTAAGGGATGGCAGCCAAAGAGAAACAGCTTGGTATTTGCACCTGTCTGCTTTAAGTACTCCATGTTAGAGTTTGCAGAGAACAAACTCTTCATTGGTAAAGAGAATGACACTTAGGAGGGTCAAAGATATTTTTAGTTGACTCTGCAGCAATCAAAAATAAATAAAATTAAATAAATAAATCACCCCACTCTTTGTTTATTCCAGCTAGACAATGAGGCCAAAGGAAAAGGCTTGTTGTAAAAGAGCAGCTCGGTGTGTGGGTGGAAGATGTAACCCTGTGTGTCTAGTCTAATAGAACACCAGGCACAGCTAGGCATGAGTGAACCTGCACGCTGCCCACGCAGAAGCACGTGGGAGAGCTTTTGCCTCTTCCCCTATAAAACACAGAAATGCTTCAGAAACCAAATATGTGCTAAGAATCCTTCTGAATTTCTACATACCGGACTGCCTTTTGAGGACCCACAGAAAGCTTTGCTGCCTAGACAGTGAGACCTATGAGAAAATTGATTTTATACAATTAAAAAGAATTGTACACTCCATTCATGAGTATGCTCAGAGGTGTGCAAGCAAGGCCATACATAGCCCCACTAGCTGGAGAGTAAATCAGTGAGGGTGCACATCAATCAAGTAACCCACGTGCGATCTTTCAGCCCTACACAAATTATCTTAGCACTCTTGCTTCTTGCTGGGAAACAAACGTGGTGCTTTCAGTCAACTTTCATTTACAATTGCACTGAAAGAAACAACAATCTCACTGGTGTATTAGCTCAGTTACTAAGAAGTAGTCTTTTTATTGCTTGCTCTTAAAATAGAAAAGCCCTCAAAAAACTCAAGCTACAGAGCTGATGACAAGAACAAAAATGCCAGGGGAAGAAAAAAAAACTAGAAGGGAAATAAAACAAAGTAAAACATACAATTTATTAAACAAAACATTGGTGCTACATTTTGATTTCATAAATTGTCCCCATTTGTACTTCCTGCTTAAACAATAACTAATATGATGATGGGTTAAATGAAGTTGAGATTGTCACAAACATGGCCTCACTAGTAATTAATGTAGTTTAATATGGTTGTTGGCACACATCTCACATGACAGATAATGTTCCAACATGTCACTGATAGGACCTTTCAGCACAGCTTTAGGAGATCTACCAGGCATTGCCGAGGTTGGTTGGGTCAAAGGGTTGAACCATGTGTAATTCAGAACAGAAGAGGTCCCACGGTCACTCCACAAAAACAATTACACTACTTATTTCACTCCGTCCCTTGCTCGAAATTCACAAGCCTCACAGTTTCAGCGCAGTCAATCTCTCTCTGCCCTGGGGCTATGAGCCACATGAAAATATGTGGTGCTGTGTTTATAAATCTAATCAAAAATAGAAACAGTAGACAAGCACAATGAGGTCCTACTATGGATCATGGGAATTCTCTAAATTCTGAAGGCACTTTTGTTTAACTTCTGTGGGCCTTCTCCTACCATTACATTGTCTGGTACTCTCGTTAATCATCTCCTTGACTTGTCAATGATATAAAGGAGCCTATGCGTCTGCTGACTTCCCTCCCATCACACTACAAATAATATTATGAAATAGCAATGCTAGGAATAGCCCCTTTCAAACTTTTCTCTTTGGAAAGCATGGTTTTTGCTTCACTTACCTCTTTCTCCATGCCAGCCTGCCCTTTCTCAGACCTGCAGCAAAAAATGCTTCCTCCTGCAACAAAGGAAAGGCAGTATATCTGAATTTTCAGTCTGCAGTTCTTAATACCACTAGGTTTAACACCCAGACTTGCAGAGTACCAGTCCATAAACCTGATGAGATGGGATAGGGGGGGAGGGAGTCTTTCCTGATGCCTTCCCCTCTCTGATCTTGTCAAAGAGCAAAGGGATGATGTAGTGCTGCTCCTTCATTTATTTTTTTTTTAAAGTTTGCATCAGCCAGTTAAAAACAAATCTGCTAACAAACGTAAACAAAAAAAACATAACTTAAAATCAGATGAAGCAATGCCAACAAAAACTTAGCTTTAAATGGAAGTAGGCCAGAAGTAGATAATTTCTACCACCAGAGAGTAACTAATGACATGACACAGAGTTTGCTGCAGAATACACCTTACCTGAAGACTACAGTACCAAAGCTTTCAAACACAGGAACACTTCTGTAATCTGGCATTCACATGGCTCCTACTTGTGCTTCTTTTCCTATGCTGGGGGTTCCACTGAAAGGATTAAAATTTTCCTCTACTATGAGGTTATAATTTGCAAACATACAATAACTTCACCGTTTATATATCAAGTCAGCAAAAAGGCCTCAGTTTTATACCAGCTACTTTTGTCTCTATGTGGGAATAAAATTCATTCATTCAAAATGGCCCGACAGGTTGCCCCTGTGGCCACTGAAATCAATGGCAAAACTGAGTCTGACTCCACAGTTTCAGGACCTGACCCACAATGAATAAGCTTCTTCCTTGACCCACAAGCTTCTTCCTTGGCCAGATTTTCCCTTGAGCATTTACACAAACACACTTTCAGGTTATTTTGCTGAGCCTGAAAACAAAACAAGATTTTGAACAATTAAAAATATCCCTTCAGAGTCCCTCAGAAGACTTAGGTGACCTTCTGGGTCAGAAGATGCCCTGTACAAAGTACATGTTTGGCCCCACTTGAGGAAATTCTCTCTCCTGAGGGCACCAGGCAAAGAAGTGCGTAATTCTGAGTATGTGCTTAGATTTCATTGAAATCAATACAATGGACAGTGGATGGGGCCACAAGTGCTCCACGGAAAAAGGTTTCATTGTCACTCCAGTTTCTCACTAATGAATCAAGGGCTGAGCTTTTGCCCAGGCATTGCTGATGCTGAGAGCCTGCTGGCCTTTGCCATCACTCCTTGATTTCAGTGTCCTTCTTGGGGTGCCAAGGCCATTGAAGCGATGCTGGAGGCTGTGAATCCAGCAGCTCTTGCTCTTCCTAGAGCCAGCCCTTCCCAAACAGCCCTGAACCACAGGCCACAGCTGTTACAAAGCTCTCTGCCCCAGGGCACTGTGCAATATTGAAAATAAAGCCCCAGCAAGACCCTGCAGATAGGCTCAAGTCACAGATCTGGTCATTGTATGTCTCAGAAAATAACTCCAGTCCCAAATCCAAAATCTGGGATGGGTTTTCAGGACAAGGTAGTATGTGCCTTTCTTTTCCAACTACTGGAACTGAACATCCACTGAATGCACTTGTTTCAAGCCCAATAGCATGGCATATGGCTTGTTACAACTCAAAGGGCAACAGCAGAAAAGAACCACCTGTATGAACCAAAAGTAACAAAACTTGAAAGGGCTCCTTTCCTCTTCAAAGTAGAATGGTGAGAAGCTGTCAGCAGAAGAGAGCTGATCAAGACATAAACTGTGAATGCAACATTTTCATCCATGGTCAACATCTGTGCATTGTAGAAGAGCCAAAGATGCAGCAATAAGGACTTGTGAAGCCAGAACAGCCCAGGAATCCAAACATTAATGGGAAGACTTGGAGTTGCATCTTTAAAAATGTGATTGATTAAATAAAGACAGCAAAGGCAAACACAGATAAACAATGAGCTCAGAAGAGACGTTAATAACATCAGGGTCATAACAGTGATTTTCTTAGAGTTAGAGAACTTCCTATTATTTGGGTTTTCCAGGAAATTTATTTTTGTTTGTTTGCTTTGGTGGGGGACACTTCATTGTTTTTTTTTTTTAAATGAAGGTGTTAGACATTGCTTTTCCTTTTATCTTTATAGTACCAAATGCAACACATTCAACTCTGCATCAACTGATGCTGACTGTGGCCTTAGTTAACCTCACCAGCCTATTTTATTGAGCTGGATAACGGCTGAATCATTAGCATTCAACTAGCTTGCAGTCCTGAAAGAATACAGCAAAAGCAGAGTACATGATCTTCTCAGCAATCAAAACACAACATAAAAAGTATCTGAGATCCCACCAGGTATTTTATTTCATACCTGGCTGATGTATTTTGCATTAATTAGGGATGGACTTCAGTTGTTTTTAAGTGCATTTATAGTAAAATGGCAAAGCAAAAAAAATACTTAGAAGTTCTTGAACTGGATAGTCCATTTTGTTTTATAATTTTTCACCCATTTATGCTCTTTTCCCCCACAAGAGGAAAAACTAAGGATGCTAGATTAAATATGCAAGATACATTAATAACTTTCTGTAGTGAAAGCAATGTATTTTTTAATACAAAAATGGAGGAATTAGAGAGATGCACAAAAACACTCTTTTAGCACCACAACCCTATTAACAGGCTCCCATCACCAGCTGCAGCTCTGGGACAGATCAAAACAACACACTTTTTCACTGGAGCATGCTCAGGTACATATTTCTCACAACAGTTGATACTTTATGCTGTATCAGCCACCAGAAATCACTTTACCAATGTACAACAAGGGCCTTACAAACACAGCCATAAAACGTACGGTTTTCACCACGCTGCCACACAGAAGGAAAGAACACTCCTGTTGGTAGCTGTGCACCCAGAACCTCCCCAGGGTGCCCCCCAATGCCCAGGCACATTATCAAGGAGAGCAAAGCCCAGCACAGCTGAGGTGCTGGAGGAGAAGCAGCGGGTCCATGGCAGCAGCAGCAAAGCAACAGTTTGTCACGGCAGGGGCTGCCCTCGCTGCTCCCGCACCTTCACCTGGGGCACCATCCATCACATGCTAAGAAGCAGTGCTGTGGGATCCCTGTGCTACAATATCGGCAGAAACCACTGAGTAAATGATAACCCTAACCCCCGCTTGTAATTCCCTTTGGACTCTCTCATAAATACCAGGTAGCCGGCCTTGCTCTTTAAGAAATATTTCTTCAGGGGAAAATTGCACCTCCAGTGAAGAGAATCAATCCATCAGTCACTTAAATTCAGCAGGGCTGACCTTTGAAGCCAAAAGCACTGTGCTTATCCTCCTTTAATCATCAATTTTGGGAGCAGGTCCTTCAAAGTAATTTCAGATCCATGCTATATTTTTCCTTTTAATTTTTTTTAATTTATAAAGAAAGGAGTTTTCTGCAATATGCCTTTATAAAGATCATTAACACACTCAAAATTAGGCTCACATTAAAGTCATTCACTTGATAAGTTGTGATGTTCCTAGCCTTTTTCTGTGTGCCTGAAAAGGTGGATAGATATATGATTTTTCTAATGATAAACCTCAGTAGGTAGCTAAGCACCACTCAGCTGCTCACTCACTCTCACTGGAATAGGGGTTAGAGTCAGAAGGATAAAAGTACAAAACCTCATGGGTTTAGATGCAGACAGGATTGGAGGGGATTTAAAAGATCATCCAGTTCCAATTCCCGTACCATGGGCAGGGTCACATGTCAGTAGACCAGGTTGCTCAAAGCCTCATCCAGCCTAGCCTTGAACACTGCCAGGGATGAGATATTCGCATCTTCTCTGAGAAACTCACCACCCTCCAGTAAAGAATTTCTCCCTAATATCTAATCTAAGCCTAATCTCTTAATTCGAAGCCGTTTCCTTTTGTTCTGTCACTATGTGCTCTTGTAAAAATCTTTATCGTTCTTGTAGGCTCCATTCAGGTACTGAAAGGTCTTGATTAGAATATCCTGAAGCCTTCTCTTTTCCAGGCTGAACAATCCCAGTCCCTTAGCCTTCCCTTAGAGGAAAGGTGCTCCATCCCTCTGATCATCTTGGTGGCCCTGCTCTAAATTTGCTCTGACAGGTCTATGTCCTTCTTCCTGTGCTCAGGGCTCCAGAGCTGGAAGCAGCACTCCAAGTAGGATCTCACCAGGGCAGAACAGAGTGGTAGAATCACTTCCCTTGCTCTACAGGCCATGCTGCTTTTAAAGCAGCCCAGGATATGTTTTGCCTTCTGGGCTGCCAGAGTTTATTTTTTTAAATTAAGGGAAAAAAAGAAAAGGGAGTAGGGAGGGAGCCACAAGTTAACAGTGATGCAAAAGGAAACAATTGCTCACCACCAACCGACTGATGTCCAGCCAGTCCCCAAACACCTTTCACCCACTCCCTGCACACTCTGTTTTGTTGCTGGACATGACATCATATGTTATGGAATATCCGTTTGGTCAAATGGGGTCAGCTGTCCCAACTTCTTCCCCTCCCAACCTCTTGCATAGCCCCAGCCCACTCACTGATGGGGTGGTGTGAGAAACAGAAAAGGTTTTGACACTTTGTAATCACTGTTCATCAATAGGTAAAACATCCCCACGTTATCAACACTGCTATAACAAACCCAAAACACAGCCCCACACAAACTACTATGACGATATTTTATTTCAGCCCAAACCAGCGACTCCTGGGGAAGTTGGAAATACCAAAATTTAGGTTTTGTGCCACCATTCCGATATTCTCATTTCCCATCAAATGGAAAGCGCCACACATGAACATTGACCACACCATTTCAGAGCCTGACTTAGGTATGACCCTCTCCCAATGAAGCCCCAGGCCTCATGTTTAAGAGTACTGAAATTTTTAGTGATCTTCACCTGACAGTCACTATTGAGGAAGGAAGAAAACCAGCCCCAGCCTGGACAAATGCCTTTCCAGAATGGGATGAAAAGCTCACAGTCTTTCTTTCCAGGCTTTTTTTTTTTTTTTTTTTTTGCAGATCTGCTCACTGCAAGTCTTGAAGGCAGCTCAGTAGCAGGCAGCAGGATTGAGAGACCAAGCACAGTAAAAAAATCATGCTCCTCA